ACTCATTATCTTATTTCTTCTTTCTATCAGCCAATTAATGTGGTCCTACGTCTGGTGCTCTCTTATTCTTCACTAAATTTGCATCAAAATCACTAATTTGAATTGAATATTCATTAAACTTCACAACTTCCTTTACCTTCTTTAAATCTTCATTAAGCCTTTATTTTCTATTTATTGGTGCTTAAACCTGAATTATTACCAAGTCATGGGTTTTGCTTTAAACTTGACTAGCAGAACTTTGTCTCACACTGCTTGACACAACTATGCAACTTCTGTTATACAAAAACATGTTTTTCATAATCTTAATATATAACGTTTAACAGCGGATCTCTCCCACTGGCCGACAGAAACTCAGGTATACAACAGCCAACTTTATTATTGTGGTAATGGCGTAAACACCTATGACGAGTACACAAAAAACTCACACATAGTCCACAATTATGCCCATGATATTTGTTATGTATAGGGACATAACAAGCGTGGCCTAGCAGAGATGGAATTAGTTACATATATGATATTCATGAAGCAGGAACATGCGGTCGGCAAATGACGACTTAACTACAAGGCCTACTGGAGAGAGACGTAATTCTGACATGCGTATTAAGACAGCACCTCCGTGGCAATATTATCACAATAATATTTCACACACTTATGACGTTTGGCGAAGCGATTGGGTGTATATAGTCAATGAAATAATGCCAGTGCTCCTGTATATCGCTTATGACCCAACGTAGATATCACTATGTACGCCAGGCCAAGATTATCACTCCCGCCTCGGCCTTGCTACTCAGCGTGGCGACACCCGCGGTGCCCAGCACCCGTGCCAAGGGGTTGGGAGTAGATTTAGAATTTTCTCATCATTTAATCAATGCTACCCCCAGACTCTAATGCGCTCTAAAGGTGGGTCACGGGCATTGGACTAGGTCAAAGTCTGTCGAGGTGAGGAGCCGGCGTAGGTGGCATTGTCAGGCATTGCACCCCTATCATTGCAACCAACCCCAAGACAAACTAATACATAGCACCTGTTAGCCACTCGAAGGTGTGACTGCTGGGCCTTACTGGCAGCGCATACGGCGGTAACATAAAGTGACAAAGTTTTTTCTTCATTAATGCTATTTGCAACCGTTTCACTGCAACGTCCTCACATTCTAAGATTCTATTTCAAGTGTATGCTTCCCCTATCATTGAGCATTTCAGATTGTTTTTAATGTCAAGAGCTTTGTTTTCCTCAGACAGTTTTGTTGACTCCCTACCAGGAACGCTCCAAAATTGTCTATATAGCCTGTCCACTACTGATCTATAGCTAGAATTGAAATTCCTTAGGGAAGAAAACTGAATACCTCTCATCACCAGAAGATTACAAAGGAGTACTTGAGGAAGGACCAGCCGACTGAACTTAAACAACAACATCAGTAACTACAATAACACGGACAAAACATTGATAAAAATAAGACAAAAAACAACATCTATAACAACCACACGCAAACTCGAAATGGTACCATCACCATCAACACCACCAATATCATCCATCACCACGACTGTTGCTACCAACACCACCCCCACACCACTACCGCTGCCATCATCCACCACCCATTACCACCATCTTCACCACCATCACCACTGAAACAACTACCACTATTACTACCATCACTACCATCACAACCACCACAACGACTACTATTACCACTACCTTCAGCATCACCACCATTACTATCGCTACCGCCACCATCACCATCATAACCCCTGATACAACTACAACCACCATCGGTATTAAAGCCACCACCACTATCACAACAACTACCACCATTATTACCACCCCTACAAAAACAACTACCAAGATCATCATATCTACAACAACCAGCCCTTAGTTCTACAATCACCGTTACAACCACCATTACAACTATCACCACCACCCGTAAAAACACCATCATAATCACCACCAATCACAACCACCACCAATACCTCCGCCACCATCCCCATGCCCACCACCACCCCAACATCAATGAACCCACTACTATCCCCAATACCATCACTAACACCACCACCACATTCACTGCCACCACCACCACAACAACAACAACAAAATAATCCACAACAAAGAAAAACAAAAACTAGCCCCACAATGAACGCTAATAATAACCTCCACCAATCTTCCAATAAAAAGCTTTTTAGTCCTGACATTAATCTTTGTGTTGTCGGGGTAAGTGCGCTATTTGTTGAGGGGGGCAGTGGAGGGAAGGGGAGCGGCAGGGGCAAGGCCAGTTAAAGGGCGGGGAAAGCGGCTGGGAAGGAGGGGGGGCAAAAATAGTGGAAAGGGCAGGGGGAGCGGCAGGAGAGGAGCAGGGAAAGGCAGGGGGGGGCGGCAGGGGGAACGACAGGGGGAACAGCCGGGGGAACGGAAGGGAAGGAACAGGAATAAGGGTAGTGTAAGGGACAGGGGGAGCGGCAGGAGAGGAGCAGGGGCATGGGTAGTGGAAGAAGGCAGGGGAAGCGGCAGGAGAGGGCCAACAGCACGGGGAGCGGCAAGGGGAAGGGCTGGGGTTGGGAAAAGGTAGGGGGAGCAGCAGAGAGGAGAATGAAAGACAAGGAGAAGGAGGGAGGGGGATTAGGGGAAGGGATAAGGAGGATGGAGGGAATTGGATGCAGAAATGGGATAGAAAGGGGAAGAAAAACGAGCGGGGAAAACAGTAGGGCTAGACGGAGCACGATGAAGGGAGGGAATAGGGTGAGGGAGGAAGGAAGAGGGAAGGAAGTAAGGTTGGGTGAAGGGGAAAGGAAAGAAATAGGTTGGGGTGAAAGAGGAAGAGACGGGTGGGATGAAAGAGGAAGGGAGGGGTAGATATAATCGTAAATAATGCTTTACCTTTTCCTTCGGTTTCCCTCTATCCTTTATTTTCCTAAATCTCCCTGTGTATCTGTCTGTCTGTCTGTCTGTCTCGCTGCACCAGTATGTCGAGGATTCGAGCCCAGGTTGGAGCAGACACACGTGTTGTCCAGTGTGGCCCTCACTACCAAGCATCACAGGATTCCCGCACTCCGGTTTCCTCCAATAATAACACTAGATAGTCTAACCACCCGAACGGCTAGTGAAGCGGTAAGTGGTGAAAATTAAAAAAGAAAAAGTACTACACCAAGACACACGTGGCACCCTGTACACTGCATCATGTTGCATTGTATGTCCGGGAATCTCTCAGACATTGCTGTATATTTCTAGAAACAAAAGAATGTGTGTAATAAATATTTTCAGGTAGTAATATTATATAACTAGTTATCTGACACACACACACACACACAAACACGCATACATATATATATATATATATATATATATATATATATATATATATATATATATATATATATATATATATATATATATATATATATATATATATATATATATATATATATATATATATATATATATATATATATATATATATATATATATATATATATATATATATATATATATATATATATATAAGCTGATGGAGGTCACCAATGTTACGACCGTGTCGTATTTTTTTTCTATTATTTTTTATAACATGCTTCCATGTTGTTCCATATTATTCCTGTAATGATGTGTTATATTTACTATTATATAATCTAGTTACCTTACCCTGTGCTTTTAAGGTTTTAACTGTTATTATTTGTTCGAGCCCATCTTATTTCTTCATTTAGTATTGGAACAAGAATTCTTTGTTTCTCTGACGACCATCTGCATCGTTAAACGATCCATGTTTCACGGGCTGGTCTCATTGGCTGGAGCGGACCTTATATATAGTACTCCACTAGCAGACGGAGTTCTGTCCAGTCCTCTTGTCATTCAGTTCACGTTCTTTTGAGTGACACTTGTCACCTGTTACTTATACTTTATTTTATTTCTGTGTTGTTCCTGTCGCCACCAATGTGGTATATCTATGTGAGTACCTATTTATGTCTCTTATGTATCCATCAGTGCTTGCTTAGTTATATTTAAGTAGTTCAGTGTTGCTTCACTATAGTTAATTTCAGTGTTAGTTATTTTATATGTTTATGCAGTGTTAACGTAACCAGTGCTTTTGATGTTTCGATGTTTTAGTATCATTTGTGTCTTAAAGGTTTCTATAGTGAATCAATTTATTGTGACAGCCTACGAGGTTCTTTATTGTTTTAGTATTTTATTTAATTAAATTCTTAAAGGTTTACTTTATTTATTTTTATTCCCTTTTGATTTACTTCACTTTTCTTTTTGTTTGGTTACGCCTAGAACCTGGAAAATAAAGTAAATTAAGAGACGGCGTAACACCAGCCAGGTACTAGAAATTAACAGCCAGGTAATAGAAACTACTAGCCAGGTAATAGAAACCACAAGCCAGTTACTAGATGTAATGAGGGGGATTTTAGGTAGAAATGATAGTAAGAAGTTATTAGTTGTAGGAATATAAAGTGAGGAAGTTTGGTAGCGCGCCGGTTAGTTATTTAACTGTATATTATATTCGTAGAGGGAATCTTTCTAAACGCCACTTTCAATACAACTATTTATTAATTAACTGAATGGCATGGACACATTAATAAATCAATATATCGAAGTTACTAGACACTGACTCTCGGACACAAACATGAAATGGATACACTTCCCACCGCAAGTAACTCACCCTTGGATCTCTCTGACAAAGACTCACGTGTGACCTAAGGGAGGCCCAGCAGGTGCTGCTGGACTATGTCTCCTGTGGGAGACTCTGCTAGCTGGGGTTCGGTGCTGAGGAGGGAAGTCTCCCTCTGGGGAGGAGCTGTCAGCCCCTTCTCTATTACAATGATGATCCGAATGCTAATGTTCTTGACTTGACTTGACTTGATGTCTGTAGATAAGGTAGATGGGTATTGCCTGTACTGTTGTGTGGGAGGACAGTGATTAAGATTGGAAGTACTTTGGTAGCAATTTGGGGGAGGGAGGGAACTGGTTTAGGGTCAAGGTAAAAGAGGCCACCAGCCAGGTACTAGAAACCACCAACCAGGTACTAGAGGTCACCAGCCAGTTCTTAGAGGCCACCAGCCAGGTACTAGAGGCCACCAGCCAGGTAGTAGAGGCCACCAGCCAGGTACTAGAACCCACCAGCCAGGTACTAGAAATCACCAGCCAGCTATTGAAGGCCACCAGCCAGGTAATAGAGGCCTCTAGCCAGTTAGTGAATGCCACCAGCCAAGTAGTGGAGGCCACCAGCCAGCTAGTGGAGGCAACCAGCCAAGTACTTAGACTTTAGCAAAGTATTTGACAGAGTACCGCATCAGAGGCTTCTGAGAAAATTTAAGGCTCATGGTATCGAGGGGAAAGTTTTAAATTGGATAAAATCATGGCTCACCGATAGAACGCAGAGGGTCAGCGTAGATGGTGTTAAATCTGAGTGGGGCCGTGTAACCAGTGGGGTTCCCCAGGGGTCAGTACTAGGCCCACTCTTGTTCATAATCTACATAAACGATCTACATACTGGGATCAGCAGTGACATAAGCAAGTTTGCGGATGACACCAAAATAGGGCGGCAAATTAATTCAGGGCGGGATGCAAATGCATTACAGGAGGATCTAAATAAACTGCAGGGGTGGTCTGAAAAATGGCAAATGAAATTCAACACCAGCAAGTGCAGCGTACTTAATATTGGAAGAACAAATACTTATAATGTATACAGCCTTAACAACATCAACCTGGAGAAGTCGACTTGTGAAAGAGACCTAGGGGTACTTGTAAGCCCGGACCTACGGCCTAGAAAACAGTGGGTTAATGTTCGAAATAAGGCAAACAGAGTATTGGGTTTTATATCTAGAAGTGTAAGTAACAAGAGTGCAGAGGTCTTATTGCAACTATATCTTGCGCTAGTCAGGCCGCACCTCGATTATGCGGTTCAGTTCTGGTGCCCCTATTATTGAATGGATAAAAATTCACTAGAGTCGGTGCAGCGAAGAATGACAAAAATGATTCCGGGACTTTGAAACCTTCCATATCAGGATAGGTTAAAGAAACTTAACTTGCATTCCCTAGAAAGACGAAGAGTGCGGGGAGATATGATAGAAGTATTTAAGTGGGTGAAAGGAATCAATAAAGGGGATAACGATAAAGTTCTTATAATATCCGAGCAGGATAGGACTCGGAGCAACGGATTCAAGTTGGATAAGTTTAGGTTTAGGAGGGATATAGGAAGAAACTGGTTCACAAATAGGGTGGTGGACGAGTGGAACAAGCTTAGCAACTTTGTAGTAAGTGCGGGAACTCTGGAAAGTTTCAAAAGGAGGCTAGATAGATTCATGGATGATAGAGAGTGGTAGTAACTCTCGACAGGAGCTGCCATGCACAGGCCAACCGGCCTGTTGCAGACTCCTTATATTCTTATGTTCTTATGTTCTTATGTACTAGAGGCAACCAGCTAGCTAGTGGAGTCCACCAGCCAGGTACTAGAGGCTACCAGCCAGCTAGTGGAGTCCACCAGCCAGGTACTAGAGGCCACCAGCAAGATAGTAAAGGTCACCAGTCAGGTAGTAAAAGGCACCAGCCAGCCAGTGGAGGCCACCAGCCAGCCAGTGGAGGCCACCAGCCAGCCAGTGGAGGCCACCAGCCAGCCAGTGGAGGCCACCAGCCAGCCAGTGGAGGCCACCAGCCAGGTAGTAAAGGCCACCAGCCAGGTAGTGGAGGCCACCAGCCAGGTAGTGGAGGCCACCAGCCAGGTACTAGCGTGCTACCAGCCAGGTAGTGAAAGCCAAAACCCAAGTAGTAGAGGCCCCCAGCCAGCTAGTGAATGTCACAAGCTGCTAGAGGCTACCAGTCAGGTAATGGAGGCCACCAGCCACTTTGTGAATGCCACCAGCCAGGTACTAGAGGACACAGCCAGGTACTAGAAACCACCAGTCAAGTACTAGAAACCATACCAGTCAGGTACTAGAGGCCACCAGCCAGGTACTAGAAACACCAGCCAGGTACTAGAGGCCACAAGCCAGGTACTAGAACCCACCAGCCAGGTACTAGAAACCACCAGCCAGGTACTAGATGCCACCAGCCAGGTACTAGATCCCGACCAGCCAGGTACTAGGAGGCTACCAGCCAGGTAATAGAGGCCACCAGCCTGGTACTAGAGGCCACCAACAAGCTAGTGATTGCCACCAGCCAAGTAGTGGAGGCTACCAACCAGCTAGTGGAGGCAACCAGCCAGGTACTAGAGGCCACCAGCCAGCTAATGGACCCCACCAGACAGGTAGTGGAGGCCACCAGCCAGGTAATAGAGGCTACTAGCCAGGTAGTGAAAGCCACCAGCGAGGTACTAGAGGCCACCAGCCAGGTAATAAAAGCCACATGCCAGGTAGTAAAGGGCACCAGCCATGTAGTGGAGGCCACCAGCCAGGAAGTGGAGGCCACCAGCCAGGTACTGGAGTCCACCAGGCAGGTAGTAGAGGCTACTAGCCAGGTGGTAGAGGACATCAGCCAGCTAGTGGAGGTCACCAGTCAGATACTAGAGGCTACCAGCCACCTAGTGAATGCCACCGGCTAGGTAGTGGAGGCCATCAGCCTGGTACTAGAGGCCACCAACAAGCTAGTGATTGCCACCAGCCAAGTAGTGGAGGCTACCAACCAGCTAGTGGAGGCAACCAGCCAGGTACTAGAGGCCACCAGCCAGCTAATGGACCCCACCAGACAGGTAGTGGAGGCCACCAGCCAGGTAATAGAGGCTACTAGCCAGGTAGTGAAAGCCACCAGCGAGGTACTAGAGGCCACCAGCCAGGTAATAAAAGCCACATGCCAGGTAGTAAAGGGCACCAGCCAGGTAGTGGAGGCCACCAGCCAGGAAGTGGAGGCCACCAGCCAGGAAGTGGAGGCCACCAGCCAGGTACTGGAGTCCACCAGGCAGGTAGTAGAGGCTACTAGCCAGGTGGTAGAGGACATCAGCCAGCTAGTGGAGGTCACCAGTCAGATACTAGAGGCTACCAGCCACCTAGTGAATGCCACCGGCTAGGTAGTGGAGGCCATCAGCCTGGTACTAGAGGCCACCAGCCAGGTAGTAAAGGCCACCAGCCAGGTACTAGAGGCTACCAGCCAGTTAGTGAATACCACCGGCCAGGTGGTGGAGGCCATCAGCCAGGTGCTAGAGGCTACTATCCAGGTAGTGGAGGCCACCAGCCAGCTAGTGGAGGCCACCAGCCAGGTACTAGAGGCTACCAACCAGGTAGTAGAGGCCACTAGCCAGCTAGTGAGTTCCACCAGCCAGGTAGTGGAGGCCACCAGCCAGTTGTGAAAGCCACCAGCCAGGTACTAGAGGCCACCAGCCAGGTAGTAAAAGCCACATGCCAGGTAGTGGCGGGCACCAGCCAGGTAGTAAAGGGCACCAGCCAGGTAGTGGAGGCCACCAGCCAGGTAGTGGAGGCCACCAGCCAGGTAGTAAAGGGCACCTGCCAGGTAGTGGAGGCCACCAGCCAGGTAGTAAAGGGCTCCAGCCAGGTAGTGGGGGCCACCAGCCAGGTAATAAAGGGCACCAGCCAGGCAGTGGTAGGCCACCAGCCAGGTAGTAAAGGCCACCGGCCAGGTAATGGAGGCCACCAGCTAGGTAGTGTATGCCACCAGTCAGGTAGTGGAGGCCACCAGTCAGGTACTCTGGGCCCAGAGGTCACCAGCCATAAACCAATACATCTATTGGGTTTACTTGCTGATGGTGAAGCAATACTAAGTGTATAGTCGGTTATTTTTAACTGACGGTAATAAACTAAGAAGCTCGCCCCCCCTTGCAGTTCCTTGCAGCTCATTGGCTCACACATACATTCAATTAATATTGATATACTTAAAATAAATCCATATACAACTGTTAAGGATACCCAGTTCTGGCTCACTTAAATGCAGAATTTAATGTATGTAAAGATACAACTTTTTGAAAACATTAAATTTCAATATATGATTGGAAAAAATGTTTGAAATAGAGAATTTTTACCGTCGAAATTACAAACAAATTCAAGCTTTCGGAGAACGTATTCACCACTACCTCTCTTTTCCCCTGATCATTATGTATATCAAGAAAAATGACACCAAACTTATAAGGCAACGGATAATAATGACTATTTTATAAAGAGTAGAATCAAGTGTAAAAGCCACATATTCACGTAAAGGTGTCGTTTAAGACAAACGTTACAGACAGGAATTGGGCTTTTTGTCCGGATTATTGTGAACCATCGGGGTTCTACGATAAGCTGGTGTTGATGTGGGTAACTAACAGCACACGTCAGTGACGTTATAATATTATTACTAAGCATCAACAACTCAATATTTATGCGTGTAACCAGGTCAGTAATTACACTGTTCAAGTGGGTCACACTGTGCCACACGGTGCATTGTTACGGTAGATGTAAACCTGGGCCAGCAGGACTGGCAGGTCAGTACTGTACTAACATCATTACGCCGTCGTCGATGTAAAGTTCAGCGACCCGTCGCGTTCCTCCAAACCTTTTCTCTCTTTTAATGTATGTACAGGTAAAGGTCAAGGGAGGTAAACCACCAATAGCCACGCTTATGTTGTGCTGCAATATACGAGCGTGAAGGTAATGTGGTGTGTGTGTGTGTGTAAAAGAACATGTTTCCCCACTTGGAATACCGTATATCGTTATGCGTTTATTTGCTGCGGCGCGGTATCTACACACCCCATACCCACTCACCAGTGCCCCATCGCGCAGCTCACTACTCTGGCACACACAGGGAGGACATGGTGGTGTGTTGTAGTCTCAGTAACACTGTAAAGGCCTGGGACTTAGGGATAGAAATCCCTTACCAGGTTAATCAGGATCTTAATAAAGGAATGTCAAGGACCATGGTTTTCTGAGGAATAACAAACAACCGTTCGAGATTGGCATCTCTTTACTATAAAAAATATAACACAAAACTCTGACACCACTCAACAACCTCAAATAATTACGGGAGTCAAACAAATAAGGCAGTCAACAGTTAATGGAGTCAAACAATTAAAGGAAGCAAACAATTAAAGGAATCAAACAATTAAATGGAGTCAACAATTGATAGAATCGAACAATAAAGGGGAGTCAGCAATTAATGGAATCAAACAATCATAGAATCAAACAATGAACAAATATTTCCTCCAGCAGTGGCCCTGGGGGAAGGTTCTAGAACACGGTGATACACACTCAGGGTAGGGAAGCGTCCATTCAACTCCACACTCGGGCGACGTCTTGAAATGGCAGAACACTTGGGCACAGACGGAATGAGATGAACTGACGGTCGTGGTATGCGGTAGTGGTAGATGACCAGAGAGTTGGCAGTTGATAGGTGAAGGCCTGGGAACACAGCCCACGAGTCCAGGACCTATGATGGGATCACAGCCAGAATTTGACGGACAGCCGGGTAGCTAGATAGTGACTGTATGGCGGCTGGGTTGAATCTGCCGGTGACACAGATAGTGGCTGCCGTTCTCACCTCTGACCAACCACCCCAAGTGTCGTCTGCACCAGCAAACGAGCGAGTTGGCAGCGGTAACCAGCAGGACGATCGTTTCCGCCCTTACAAACACTAATATATACTTCTGCTGTTAATGTAACATGACTATTATCCTACATACCAGCCGTCTTTGAGTGACTTATTATGTGGTCAGGCGAATGATTAGAGCAGTGCCACATCTGCTGCACGACACTCCCTACCAGTTCTGAATAATATAATCTTCCAATCTTATCCTGATACGGTATGGTGTCTGTACGCTAACAAGAATTTGCCATTTTTATAATATCCATGAAAACTCTGTTTCAAAGGGTTCGTTAGCCTCAGCTTGAAAAACATGTTGAATACGATGAGCCCGTTAGCTTGCCTGGCTCGGCGCGGTGTATGTGTGCGTGTGTGTAAGGATATGCACCCAAGATTCCTCTGCAGATTGAATTTCACGTTTCACGGTTGATTGCTCAAGGTTAAGGGGGTTGCGTTTTGATCTCGGGATATGACCAGCTTCCTTACTACTCACTGAAGCCTCCGACACATCCTAGAGCTACACCACACCTAATACACCCTGGCTAAACAAGACCCTTTGCCAATTTTTGCTCCAGCGATGATGTGCAGAGTTACTGTATGAAGTATTTAAGGGTGGTATATTCCCTTCAGGTTTTACACATGAAGTCTGCCAGATAGTAATGTTATTGAACACGTCCTTCAGTGCCACAACTTGACACAACTCAAAATACACGTAACACTCACACCACGCCACACCGCACCACACCGCAACACCGCACCACACCGCAACACCGCACCACACCACACCACACCAGACCACACCACACCACAGTACACTATACCACATCACACCACACCACCAAACCACACCACACCAAACATCACCCTACCATCTCACCACACCACCACGCCACACCTCATCACACTACCATCTCACCACACCACACTACACCACACCACACTATCACCACACCACACTACACCACACCACACTACACCTTACCACACCAAACCACACACCACACCACATCACCCTACCCTATCCTACCCTACTCTACCCTACCACCACATCATACCACCTTACCACCACACCACACTATACTACCCTACCACCACACCACACTACACCACACCACACTACAATCACACCATACCACATTTCACCATACCACACCACACCACCAAATCATCACCACACCACCAAGCCATACCATACCATACCATACCACACCATACCACACCACACTACACCACACCACACCACCTCACCACGCCTCATCACCCTACCATCTCACCACACCACACCACTAAACCACACCACACCTCATCACCCTACCCTCTCACCACACCACACCACCAAACCATCACCACACCACCAATTTTCGCTGTATACCATCTATGTTTGATGTAATGAGTTGGTACCGGACGTGTTACCAAAGCCATCAGGAAACAATGCTATGATATTTATGGGTGACTTTAATTCTCGTCACACTCTCCTCGGTGATGTCCAGTGTAACTCTAATAATCACTGTATACGACACAGACAAAGTGACACATTTGATGGGAGGCAGACTTGAATATGTGACCAGGTATAACCTAGTAGACAATAATATCAAGGCTAAGGCCATCTCAGACCACCTAGTCAGTGATCATTATGCAATACTTACTGAATACACTGTTGTAGATGTCAAGTGTGAACACCATCCTAAGCTCAGAATTAACATCCCAGATAATCTTAAATTGCACTTCAAGGCCTACATCCACAGATGGTATACTGCCAATTTCAGGGGTCGAAGTGCAAATTTAAGAATTTTTCTGACGGCGGGTCATCAAATGATGCATTTTTATGTTAGATTTCAGAAATAACCTTGCTTTTGAGATTGGAGGTGTCTTACCTACATCAATTTTATTTTAAATTTGAGGTTTTAGACCCAAAATTATCAATTTTCCTGTTGCTATCTATCACCATTGTACTGTAATGAGACACTGGAAAATCGTATTTGCAGTTTTATTTAGTAATGTTTGACAATAGGTATCGAGGTTTTTTACTTTCCTCCCTGTAGTAATGATCGCGAGCAAGAACACAAGCCAAACACGGAACCTCTTTGTTACAACGACTGACTCTACTGTTGCAAACGCGATATACAAAAGCGGCCACATAATGCAAACACTATGTGCAGACACGTACACACACACACATACATGTGCTCACATGCTATACTCTTCACCTCTTGAACTTGGTGAGAGAGGCCAGGTCCTGCTTTCTCCTGTTCCTAGAGATCAGAAGTCTGCTCACCAATTGGGACTTGATCATCTCATCCCTTATCTCGTGACTGTAGACATGGGCAGCTGCCTCTGTGACCAGTTTGACACACCTCTCCACACTCTGAGTATGTGAAGGCCAGTCTGGCACCTCTATAGGCCTGTGCACAAACTGCTTGACTTGAGCTGTGGTGAGGGAACAGGCGAGGGGAGGTTCAGTGACCCCAGTGGTCCAGTCTACCAACTTGGTGGCATCTGGGTTTATGTCAGGTGTTCTCCTGGGCCTGACAGAGTTGTCACCAATCTGTGTCTCCTCATCTCCCACCCCCCTCAATTCCAGTATTCTGTCCACTGCCTCTCTCCTCTCATCCTCCACCTCACTGCACAGCATGGCCTGCAATACTGCCTCTGGGTGTGCATACCAGGCTGACCACCTCACAGTGGGCATCACTGTGTCCAGCACCTTCTTCTTCTTCTGACTTCTCATCAGCTCCAGCTGGTACAAAATGTGCCTGGGCCTCTCCACCCAGCTGTGGTTGA